CCTTTTTGTTGACTTCACTTAAATGCATGGTTTGTTAAACAAAGGCTGTAAACAAATATTTACCATGTCTGTTACATGTAACATACAAGAATAGCTTTTAACAGGAATTCATCAACTCCCCCCAACATTTTTAATTATAAATACAGGTATCAAAACAATCCTGAACATATTTTTGATACTACTAGTAGTAAGCACCCACAGGGCTTCAAAATTTAACACATTTGCGGCAATATTCATTGTACCTGCTACTTTTTAAACAATTTCAACTGCAGCTCTTTCACTAAGCAAGATGGTTAAAGTATGCCATTTCTGTTTTCTTTCTTGAGATTTTTACTTTTTAGAAACACACATGCTTCCACTGTCATCTGACACTTCTCCACATGCTTTCATCTTGTAAACCTGAATTCTATTTCCAGCACTCCAGGTTTATGTTTAAATGACAGTGCCTTAACAAGAGAAAAAAAAAATGTGCTGCACTTTTCTTCCTGTTACCTGAAAGCATAACGGGTGTACATATATTAAATATATTCTTACAAATGTCCAGGTCATATTTACCAGCTGGAATTCTTTTACTTAATGTGTGGGTATTTTGAATTGTGATATTTAATCAAGACATTAACATGAGTAGAAGGTTGTTGATTTAAGACAAGTTTGAGATCCACTAAAATTAATTGTTGTATGTTTGTCGTTCTGGTGGCTGTGGAAGCTTCATATTTTCCTTGGACTTCTTTAGACGTCTTAGCTCTTGATGCACAACTTTAATGCTATATGAATTTTGCCATTTTGCTAACACTGATATGCTCTGGGCATCCACCATCCCACTGGAATTATTTACTCCATTCATATTAATTTTTGTTACAAATCTGACAAAGGAGCTTCTGGGTATTTAGGTCCACATTCTACTTTCAGATTATATATTCTATTTTCATAATTTGTCCTTGGTGGCCCAATAATCATGCCTGTGTCCACCTAGTAAGTGTCATATCTTCATCATCTTCAAGGGCCCAGCTAACCATACCGTTGCCTACTCCTTTTTGTCCTTCTTCAAGTTCTTTCCACAAGCAAAATTTACGGGGAACTTTAACATCCTGCGGAGACTGCCATCTCCTCCTGCAGCTCAACGCAGCCGCACGCACGCACGCACGCACGCACGCACGCACGCACGCACGCACGCACGCACGCACGCACGCACGCACGCACGCTAGCGTGAAAGCGGGCACGCACGCACACTCTCTGGCCTGCAAGCAAGCACGCACGCACGAGATGTCACGCATCCGGACCCACATTTTTTAAGGCTCATTATTTCCATTCCCTCCAAGAAAGAATATTTTAGTAGAATAGCAGTAGGAACTTATTTTCTGATCTTTAATTAATGGAAAGGAAAGAGAGGGCTACTGATCCCTCAAGGTGTAAAACAAATTTTTCTTTTTTTTTGAGACGGAGTTTCGCTCTTGTTACCCAGGCAACAAGATCGCACAATGGTGCGTTCTTGGCTCACCGCAACCTCTGCCTCCNGCACGCACGCACGCACGCAAGCAGACAGGCGGGCACGCACGCACACACGCAGGCCTGCAGGCACGCACGCACGCACGAGATGTCACGCATCCGGACCCACATTTTTTAAGGCTCATTATTTCCATTCCCTCCAAGAAAGAATATTTTAGTAGAATAGCAGTAGGAACTTATTTTCTGATCTTTAATTAATGGAAAGGAAAGAGAGGGCTACTGATCCCTCAAGGTGTAAAACAAATTTTTCTTTTTTTTTGAGACGGAGTTTCGCTCTTGTTACCCAGGCAACAAGATCGCACAATGGTGCGTTCTTGGCTCACCGCAACCTCTGCCTCCTGGGTTCAAGCAATTCTCCAGCATCAGCTACCCAGGTAGCTGGGATGACAGGCATGTGCCACCATGCCCAATTAATTTTGTATTTTTAGTAGTGACAGGGTTTCACCATGTTGGTCAGGCTGGTCTCGAGCGCCTGACCTCTGGTCATCCACCCGCTTCAGTCTCCCAGAATGCTGGTATTATATTATGCCGTGTCCGGCACAAATTTGTTTTTCATATAAAAGCTTCACTTTTCATTACAAATATCCTCCTGTGTCTTAAAAATAAGACACAGCTATCAAAGAAAAAGTAAATAACTTAATCCAAGATAACTTAGTCTCTAAAAACTTAGAGAAGAAATTTACTTAGGCATGTCATTAAAATGTCTAAAGACCAAACATAAAAGTAATTAAACTTTTAGTTTTTAAATCCTCTATAAAATCTGATGCCTAAATACTCTCCTATTAAAAACAAACAAAACAAAACAAAAACACTCCTCTTACCTGCTTCTTGATGACAATCTGGACACAAATCCAAAGGCTAATGCTAACGGCAAAGCCCAAATAAATGTAAAACCTGTTTATCCATAATGATATTAAAGGTGAGGAGAGGTCCCATGTATCCATAGAAGGATCTAAATTTAAAATGACACACGCAGGTAATTTTATTTAAAGCTACACATGCAAAGATATCCATCCCAGTTTTAAAAAGAAAATAAAACCAATCTTACATTCAACAGCCCAGCTAAGAAATCTATTTTTAAAATCAACAATTGGCTGGGCGTAGTGGCTTACGCTTGTAATCCCATCACTTCAGGTGGCCGAGCCCGGCGGATCACCTGAGGTCTTGAGTTCGAGCCCAGCCTGGCCAACATGGTGAAACCCCCTCTACACTAAAAATCAAAAATTAGCCGGGCGTGGTGGCGTGTGCCTGTAATCCCATCTACTCGGGAGGTTGAGGTAGAACTGCTTGAACCCGGGAGGCGGAGGCTGCAGTGAGCCGAGATGGCGCCTCTGCACTCCAGCCTGGGGGAAAGAGCAAGGCTCCATCTGGGGGGGGGGGGGCTGGGAGGGATCACCTAATAGAAATAACACACAATGTAGTAACGTGATAAAATTATCATACTGTTAATACTCAAAAAAAAACCAGAATATAAAATTGTATCTTCACTTCGTAATGAGCATTTAGGAGCAAGAGTAGGGAACATAAAGTAAAAACACTTCATGTGGAATTGAGTTAATTTTGTTTTGTTGTGCTTGTTCCATAAAAAAGCGTAAGTAGTAAAAGTGCTCTTTTTACTAATTGTACTTTCAAAGGCTCACGGTTACGGGCGCAAAAGCTCTAATACAAGTGGGTAAAGTGGGAGGGGTAGTTTTCTGGTTCCATTTAGGGTTCCTTCTAAAGTAACCCCCTAGCCTTAAAAGGCAAAAGCCAGGTCAAAAGCAAGGATCAGTCCTCCTTACTCTCAGCGGCGCCTATCTGGTGCTGTCAAACGCAACAAACTCCGAAGAAAGGGGACCCAGGACGCCACGCAGCCCGGAGAGGGTCTCAGTAAAAAGGTTTCCTCCCCTGACGCCTCGGGGTCCTTGCTCGCCGGGGGCCCTTACCCATCCTCCTCAGAGCAGACAGGAGACTAGGATCTCGGACCGGAAAGCCCGGTGTTTCGCTTGGGCACCGCGAGACAGGTGGAACTACCTCGCCGCGTCAGCGGCTTACCGGTCGCTCGCGGAGCTGGGGGCAGCCATGACACTGGCGGGCGGGTCCCGATAGGTTTAGAGGGCGAAGAGGTGGGCCCAGAGGAAAGCCCGGAGCTCTGCGAAAGGAAGCCAGTGCCCAGTGCGCTCTCAGCCCTGCTCCGATTGGCTCAGAGGGAAAGGGGGCGTGTCAAGAAATAAGCACCGCCCAGAGTTCCGGGCGACGAAGCAGGAGCGCTTCCGGCTCCGCTTGGATTGGCTCAGACTGGGAAGGGGCGGGTCCAGAGAGAAATGATTGGCATGGGAAAGCAAGGGGAAAGGAGTAGGGAGCCGGGGGATTGCTACGTGGGCTGGTTTGGATCTCAGTTGGAACAAACGGACTGCAGAAAGGCATTATTTTGGGGAAACCTGAAGATGGACTCGCTATTAAATGATATTAAGGAATTGTACTTAATCTCGTTGGGTGTGCCTATTAAGGGATGTAGGCTCAAGTATTTAATGCCGAAACCACTAATGGTTTCTTTAAAATACCCGCAACAGGCCTGCCGGGTGGCTCACGCCTGTAATCCCAGCACTTTGGGAGGCCGAAGCGGGAGGATCGCTTGAGCCCAGGAGTTCGAGACCAGTCTGAGCAAAATAGAGAGGCCTAGTCTGTACAAAATCATTGTTTTAAATTATTTAATTAAGTTAGCTGGGCGTGGTCCCTCCCACTTGTAGACCCAGCTACGTGGGAAGCTAACGGTGGAAGACCTCTCCAGCCCAGGCGGTCAAAGCTGCAGTCGGCCATGACCCTGCCACTGCACTCCAGCCTGGGTGACACAGACACTGAAAAAAAAAAAAAAAAGTGTAAATAAAAATCAGACAAAAAAATGAGAAAGGAATAAAACAGAAGTGGCAAAATGATAATTTGTTGAATCGGGGTGATGGGTATATGGAGGGTTCATTACACTTTTTTGTCTACATATTATGTTAAAATATTTCGTTGTGGTGTTTTTTGTTTTTTTGAGACGGAGTCTTGCTGTGTCGCCCAGGCTGTAATGCAATGTCGCGATCTTGGCTCACTGCAACCTCCGCCTTCCAGGTTCAAGCGAGTCTCCTGTCTAAACCTCCCTAGTAGCTGGGATTATAGGTGCCCGCTGCCACGCCCGCCTGATTTTTTGTATTTTTTAATGGAGACGGGGTTTCACTCTATTGCCAGGCTGGTCTCGAACTCCTGAACTCAGGCAAGCCTCCCAAAGTGCTGGATTGAAAAAATTTTTCTATTATAAAAGGGTGAGTAAATAAAAATATTTTATTTACTATAAAATACTCCCATTATAAAAAATGTTTCTATCATAAATTGGGTGTGGCACTTGAAATTCCGCGGAACGATCCGGTGCCAACGCTGCGTTTCAACCCGGTCACTAAACATCCGCGAGCATCCTGTCAGAGCTTTTAGCTCATTGGCGAAAGTAAATTACGTTAAGGGAACACACCTCCCTTTTCGGGCGTGGAAAATGTCGTAAAAAGCCACAATGCGCAGGCGTCGTCGCTCACTTTTCCCCGCCCGGCTTCCGCCCCACTTGACGCCTGCTCGATAAAGCAGCCGGGCGCAGTGTGGTAGCTGCCCGAAGCCAGTGAGTCGCGGCGCTGCTTAACGGCGGGTGGGTCAGTGCCTCGCGCCGCTCGGTTGTTACAACGAGGCGCTGAGGGCCGTCAGGTCGGGCGGCGCGAGTGTATCCTGGTTCGCTGGCTCCTAGGTCTTTGACCAGCCGAGATGTCGATCTTCACCCCCACCAACCAGATCCGCCTAACCAATGTGGCGGTGGTACGGATGAAGCGCGCCGGGAAGCGCTTCGAAATCGCCTGCTACAAAAACAAGGTCGTCGGCTGGCGGAGCGGCGTGTGAGTAGCCCCCTCTCTCCGGCCTGGGTCTGGACCTGGGCCGGAGCCGTCGCCTCCGAGGCGGCCCGTCTCTGCCCAAGTCGAGTGAACGGACCCTCCTGGCAGGGGAGGAAACGGAAAACATTCCTGCCGTGATTATGGGACGGCGCTGTCCGAGCTTGGCGCCTACGCCAAGGGTTCCTTTTTTATTTGGTTGGTTCGGATTGGGTTGTTGGTTTGGAGTTTGGTTTCATTGATGTCATAAAAGCTACAGCCAAGAAATCTCATCATTATGATGCTTTACCCTGAATAATGTTGGCCAAGAACCTATTTATCTTCTAAATACTGTCATAGTTGTGGTACGTCTGGTGTCACAGATGTCAGCCCTGGTAGTTTCATCAAAGTGCGTAGTGTCTTCACTGCTGCCATCTAGGGGCTGGCATTCCGTGGCAGCAACCGTCCACACCCCACCCTACCCCACCCCACCCTTGTGTTTCTTAAGTCCTCCCATGACATATTTCTCCAGTGAGCAAATGGTAAGGCACATACGGTTCAGAGTTTTGAAAATGTTCCCGCTGGCCAAGGCGGGCGGATCACCTGAGGTCGGGCGTTCGAGACCAGCCTGGCCAACATGGTGTAACTGGTCTCTACTAAAAGTACAGAATTAGCTGGGTGTGGTGGTGCATGCCGGTAATCCCAGCTACTCGGGAAGCTGAGGCAAGAGAATCACTTGAACCTGGAAGGTAGAGGTTGCAGTGAGCCCACCCACATAGGGCTATTGCATTCCAGGTTGGGCAAAAAATCCTCCGTCTTGTGGGGGGAGGAGGAGGAGAAAAAAAAGAAAGAAAGAAAGAAAAAGAAAATGTTCCATCGGGGGATTTGTTGTGTCTTACGGATTATGGTGTTCCCCTCATGTGTTTAAATGTAAATGCATGTCCAAGTTTCAAGTATATTCACATAGGACTCTCTCTCCTGCCCTCACAAGGGAAAAAGACCTTGATGAAGTTCTGCAGACGCACTCAGTGTTTGTAAATGTTTCTAAAGGTCAGGTTGCAAAGAAGGAAGATCTCATCAGTGCGTTTGGAACAGATGACCAAACTGAAATCTGTAAGCAGGTGGGTAACAGCTGCAGCGTAACTAACCCTAATAGCCATTTATAACATACTTAGGTTATATTAAACATTAAAGGCTGTTTTTTGGAGGGAAGAAAAACAAAGCAATAATGTGAGCTATACAGTGTCACTTCTGATAATAAAGAACATGGGTTTTGTTTTGTTTTACCAAAACCTGAAATCAAATTTTCTACTAAATTACCTCATTTTTCTAGTATAGAATGTTGTATACCTGAATTTGTTTTCAGGTATTTCATCTTTCAGACCCTTTTGAGATTGCCTTTTCGCCTTAACCCACCCAATCCTCAGTATGAGAAATCTGGGAGCACAACAAAATCTCTTGCTTTTTTTTTTTTCTTTTGACACAGGCTCGCTCTGTCACCCAGGCTGGAGTGCAGTGGTGCAATCTCTGCCCACTGCAAACTCTCCCTACCTGGTTCAAGCAATTCTCCTGCCTCAGCCTCCCAGGTAGCTGGGATTACAGGTGCCCACCACCATGCTCAGCTAATTTTTCTGTTTTTAGAATAGATGGGGTTTTACCATGTTGGCCGGGCTGGTCTCAATCTCCTGACTTCAGGTGATACGCCTACCCTGTCCTCTCAAAGTGCTGGGATTACAGGCGTGAGCCACCGCACCCAGCCAAAAGATTCTTTTGTCTTTTGGGGAAAGCTCAAACCATTACTTACATATTAATAGCTGGAAAGGATGAAATTTAATTTTCTCCCAAGTCATTCATTTTTTGTGGTTAACAAATAGTGTGTGATAGGGAAGGATAGTGATTTCTTAAATGTGTTGATTTTCTTTAGATTTTGATTAAAGGAGAGGTTCAAGTATCAGATAAAGAAAGACACACACAACTGGAGCAGATGTTTAGGGACATTGCAACTATTGTAGCAGACAAATGTGTGAATCCAGAAACAAAGAGACCATACACCGTGATCCTCATCGAGAGGGCCATGAAGGACATTCACTATTCAGTGAAAACCAACAAGAGTACAAAACAGCAGGTGAGTGCTTTCTCATGTCATCAAAACATGTCCATGGAAATCAGTTTTCTCTGAAGAAATCATTAAAACAATGGGCTGGGGCTGGGCACGATGGTTCACGCCCGCAATCCTAGCACTTTAGGAAGCTGAGATGGGAGGATTGCCTGAGGCCGGGAGTTCGAGACCAGCCTGGGAAACATAGTGACAGCCCAGCTCTAATTTTTTTTTTTGTTTGAGACGGAGTCTCACTCTGCTGCCTGGCCTGGAGTGCAATGGCATGATCTTAGCTCACCTCGGCCTCCCTAGTAGCTGAGATGACAGGCGTGCACCACCACACCCTGCTAATTTTGTATGTTTAGTAGAGATGGGGTTTCTCCATGTTGGCCAGGCTGGTCTCAAACTCCTGACTCCAGGTGATCCGTCTACCTCAGCCTCCCAAGTAGCTGGGATTGGAGGCAAGAGCCACCATGCCCTGCCTCTAATTTTTTTTTTAATATAAAAAATTAAATTTTAAAAAATGGGTCTTCATGGAAACAAGTGGGTAGAAGGTTTGGAGAAGAGATGGAAGAAAATGACAGGGTTGTAAAGAGAGTATCTTTTTTTTTTTTTTTTTTTTTTCAACTAAACAAAAAAAAATTTAGTTTCTGTTATATACAGAGAGCTATACTATCCATATGAGTAATTTTCAGGACAATCATGGTATAATATTTATACTTATTTTTCAACTAAACACAAATATATAGGACTTTCTTCTTCAATATCCAAATCAAACTTTCAAAGACGAAACTTGAGTTTTTAAAGGGTCATTTTAACCTTTAAAATCCTCTTTTTGGATTTTTAAATTTATGTATAATTCATATACCATAAAATCACACTCTTAAAATGTGTACACTTTAAGTGGTATATTAACAAAGTTTTTGGTCCTTTCCTGCTACCTAGTTTGAGAACATTTTCATCACCCCAAAAAGAAACTCGGTACCCATTAGTTGCCATCCCCCATTTCCCTCCTCTGACAGGTCCCTTGCAACCGTTAAATCTCTCATTGTGGACTTGTCAATTCTGGACATTTCATATACAGGAATCATACAGTATATGGCCTTTTCGTGGTTCATACATATTGTAACCTGGATCAGTATGTCATTTCTTGTTTATTCCTGGATAGCCCATTGTATGGAAAAAACACATTTTGTTTATTCATTTGTCAGTTGGTAGACATTGGTTTGCTTTCACGTTTGAGCTATTATGAACAATGCTACTATAAGATTTGTTGCATGTCTTTGTGTAGACATACGTTTTCGTTTCTGGTATACCTGGGAACTACTTTTTCCAAAACAGCTGCACCATTTGACATTACCACCATCGGTGTTAAAGGATTCCAGTTCGCCACACCCTGAGTAATACTTGTAAACATCTCTGCCTTTTTGATGATCGCCATGCTGGTGGTATCTTGCTGTGGCTTTGATTTGCATTTCCTTAATAATGATTTGAGCATATTTCCATGTGCTTACTGATGCTTTGTCTGTCTTCATTTCAGAAATCACTGTTAGGTTCTTTGCCCATTTTTTAATTGATTTTCTTTTCATTGCTGAGTTGTAAGACTTCTCTCTGTATTCTGGGTAGTCCCTTACCACATTTATGATTTGCAAATATATTTTCCTATTCTCTGGGTTATCTTAACTTTCTTGAAAATTTCTTGAAACACAAAAGCTTTTCACCTTAATAAGTCCTATTTTTCTCTTTTTTTTTTTTAAATGATCATCTATGTTCTTAATGTTGTACATAAGAAACCATTACCTAATCCAACTACATGGAAACTACTTTGTTTTTGAAAACCTTATGAAATAGTGTAGTAGAAAAATAAAGAAATGGCATGCTCCATGGAGAGGGACACTGACCAGCTGGATGCCCTGCCTCTCCATTCTCATGGGAAAAAAAAAAAGAAATGACATGTCTGTTTTGTGTCTGTAGGCTTTGGAAGTAATAAAGCAGTTAAAAGAGAAAATGAAGATAGAGCGAGCTCACATGAGACTTCGGTTCATCCTTCCAGTGAACGAAGGGAAGAAGCTGAAAGAAAAGCTCAAGCCACTGATCAAGGTCATAGAAAGTGAAGATTATGGCCAACAGCTAGAAATCGTAAGAGGAAAATATTTTTCTTTGCTTCATGTTACCCAAATAGTGTATTCTCTAATGAGAAATGTGTAGCAAACATTTAGAAGTTGTAGACAGTCAGATATTTTCAGAAGACTAAAAGTTATGGTCATCCTTGTTTACCACAAAACATTTTCTTTTTTTCCCAGCATTTATTTTTGTCATACATTATGCATAGTGTTTTAGATACATTCTTGTAGCACATTTAGCAACCATTTAAAATAGGCCATTTAAAAATCACTATTTTAGTGGAAGATTAATGATTCCAATTACCTTAAAAATTTTGCAAAAACTAGTACAGAGCACACTATGGAAATTTATATTGAGTTTTCAGAGATAGCTCAATTGCATGCTTTACTCCAGTGTTGAGCATAATCCTAAAAGCCACAATCCCAAATGCCACAATCCTGAATGTTTAAATCATAAAGAAAATAAAAATCCCTAAAGTCCAAAGCCTGAACGTCTAAAATCTTGAAAATCACAGTTGAAAAGATTGAATCCTGGCAAGGCATGGTGGCTTATACCTATAATCCCAGCACTTTGGGAGGCCAAGGCTGGCGGATCACCTGAGGTCAGCAGTTCGAGACCAGCCTGGCCAACATAGAGAAACCCAGTCTCTACTAAAAATACAAAATTAGCTGGGCATGGTGACACATGCCTGTAATCCCAGCTACTTGGGAGGCTGTGCCAGGAGAATTGCTCGAACCCAGGGGGTGGAGGTTGCAGTGAGCCGAGATCATGCCATTGCACTCCAGCCTGGCCAACAAGAGCGAAACTCCATCTCAAAAAAAAAAGAAAGAAAGAAAAACAAAGATTGAATCCTGAATGAGCTGAATAATTCTGGCAAAAGGATTAGAACACTTTCAGTTCTACGCAGGGTAGTCTTGACATGTTAATTGCATCATGTTGGGCAAAACTAGGACCTTGGTATTGTCTTCATTTGGAAATTAAGTATGGTTTACATGTGTATGGGTACCAAGTTGATAAGGGGTAGAATTGCAGATGTAATTTTAGGTGCCAACTTGACTGATTAAGGAATCCCTAGAGGCCAGATAAAGCATTATTTGGGGTGTGTCTGTGAGGGCGTTTCCACAGGATATCAGTGTGTGAACTTGATGACACTAACCGCATAACATTTTAAAGCAGCAGCAAAACCATTATGTCCTCACCCCATAGCTTCAAACACAGTGTCAGTTCAGCTGTGTGCAAATTCATGTTTTCAGGGCTTTGTAGGTTCTTTTTAAAAATACATGAGCTGTAGAGGAATGTTGAGTATGTGAGTATCCACTGTAGATGTGAACTAACCCATCTGACACTCTTTGAAGTTTTAAATCTTTTCAAAACTGTACACATGCGCCAGGCACAATGGCTTATGCCTATAATCCCAGCGCTTTAGGAGGCTAAGGCAAGCAGATAACCTGAGGCCAGGAGTTTGAGACCAGCCTGGGGAACATGGTGAAACCCCATCTCTACTACAAATACAAAACATTAGCTGGGTGTGGTGGTGTGCGCCTGTAATCCCAGGTTCTTGGGAGGGAGGCTGAGGCAGGCAGACAACCTGAGGCCAGAAGTTCAAAACCAGCCTGGGGAACATGGTGAAACCCCGTCTCTACTAAAAATACAAAACATTAGCCAGGCGTGGTGGTGGGCACCTGTAATCCCAGCTTCTTGGGAGGCTGAGGCAGGAGAATCACTTGAACCCAGGAGCCAGAGGCTGCAGTGAGCCGAGATTGCGCCACTGCACTCCAGCCTGGGGGACAAGAGCAAACTCCATCTCTAAATAAATAAGTGTATTTTGAAAGTAAATAAATAAATGTGCTATCAAAAAAAAAAACTGTACACATGGTCTCTAAATAGGTCTTCATGTTGGTTTTTCTCTTTCACATGTGGAGATGACTTTATTGAGCTATAAAAGTTACTGTTAAATTTTAGTGGAGAAGAATCAGATTTTTCTAGTTTGTCCGTTTCATTTTACAGCTGGAGAATCTGAGTAAGTTTTAAACACAGGAATTAATGCGTCATCACAGGGCCTACATGGGTACTTCAGGGCTGACGCTGAGCTAGAGCCCAGTCCGCTGCCTACCCCGTTGTCTTACCTATTGCACCGTAGAACTGTGGTATTAGTGATCTCTGGAAAGCATCGTTTGCCTTAAAGGAAGTTAAAGCTGGGTTTATTCTGTTTCTTGCTCATCTTCATGTGGTAAATTGCTACGTTAAATGTTTCAGGTATGTCTGATTGACCCGGGTTGCTTCAGAGAAATTGATGAGCTAATAAAAAAGGAAACCAAAGGCAAAGGTTCTTTGGAAGTGCTCAACTTGAAAGATGTGGAAGAAGGAGATGAGAAATTTGAATGACGTCCATCAATCTCTTCACCTCTAAAACACTAACGTGTTTTCGTTTCCCACGGCACTGTTTCATGTCTGTGGTCTGCCAAATACATGTTCAAACTATTTGACATTTTCTATCTTTGTGTTAACAATGGACACGGCAAGGCTTTCCTACAGAAGCATAATAATGTGGGAATGATTAAGTTTTAATTATAAGCTGGGGTCGGAATGCTAAAGCAAAATTGAAACTCCAAGGTGCAGAGTCCAGAGTAGCACTTTGCTACTCTGTCTCATCCCTTGGTAGCTTTCCAAAATGAAAGTTATTTGAGGCAACTCTTGTGGGTAAAAAGTTATTTGTACAGTAGAGTAAGATTATTTGAGGGGTATGTCTATACAACAACAGGGGGAGTCTTTACTAAAAAATAAACATGATACTTCATTTCTACTTAATGGAACTTGTGTTATGAAGGTCATTATGGTGTCATAATGTAAAGTTTGGATGATGTTCCTGATTACCTGAGAAACAGATATAGAAAAACTGTATAGGACTTAAATAATATTCATTGAACATGCTGCCATAACTTAGATTATTCTTGGTTAAAAAATAAAAGTCACTTATTTCTAATTCTTAAAGTTTATAATATATATTAATATAGCTAAAATTGTATGTAATCAATAAAACCACTCTTATTTTTATTAAACTATGGCTTGTGTTTGTTTCTAGACAACTTCCTAACTAACTCCCTTTCTTTTCTCTGCCTATGTCTGTGGGAGGATTAGGGAGTTGTTTGTTAGGAGAATTAAGTAAGACAATATGAAGAGTGCTTAGAACATGGCCTGTCCTGGTAAACACCTGAAAAATCTTGGCTAACACTTGGGATGTAACTCAAGAATTATTTTAATATTTAAACAGTTAAATGGACAAGGTACAAGCTTTTGAAAATCTACTTCAAGGCCAGGGGCAGTGACTCACACCTGTAATATCAGCACTTTGGGAGGCCAAGGCAGACGGATCACCTGAGGTTAGGAGTTTGAGACCAGCCTGGCCAATGTAGTGAAAACCTGTCTCTACTAAAAATACAAAAATTAGCCAGGCGTGGTAGTGCACACCTGTAGTCCCAGCTACTTGGGAGGAGGCTGAGGCAGAAGAATCACTTGAACCCAGGAGGCAGACGTTGCAATGAGATGAGAACATGCCACTGTACTCCAGCCTGGGTGACAGAATGAAACTCGGTCTCAAAAAAAAACTTTTAAGAGGTACATTCTAGAATATAAATTAGATTCACTCAATAAACATACAGATGTATTTCTGGACAGCAGTTTATTTTGACTGAAAACGACTTCTTAACCTGAAAAAGTAGTGATTGGTTTTATAAGCATACAGAACTCCCTGCTAATATAACCTCTCAGAAATGTCCCTTGTTTAAAATAACTTCAATTGAGATTATGAAGCCAAAATTTTTACTTAGAGTGTTAATATGTTCTTGTTTGATAATATGGAAATGAACCCTTTTTCTGTTACCGCTGAAGCTGGCCCGCTGTTTTGATAGAATCCTTAAGGTAACCCTTCTGCCTCGATTTCACTTGCTTCATTTGTTTTAGTGAAGTTAGTCCAAACTCAGTCCCGGGAGATCATTTTAACTAATAAAGTTTACACTTGATTTCTAGCATAATAAGTGAAATATGCACATTTAATATACAGTTTCCTTAAGATTTTCTGGGGCCAGATGCCATGGCTCACATCTGTAATAGCACTTTGGGAGGCCGAGGCAGACAGCTCCGGGCACATGATGAAACCCCGTCTCTACCAAAAATACAAAAAATTAGCCAGGCCTGGTGGCGTGCATCTGTGGTCCTAGCTACTCGGGAGGCTGTGGCGGGCGGATCACTTGAGCCTGGGAGGTGGAAGTTGCAGTGAGTTAAAATCACCCTACTGCACTCCAGCCTAGGCGACAGAGCCAGACCCTGTCTCAAAGATTTTCTGATTCTGATGATTCATTTTTTCTAAAAAGCTGGAACTTCAAGAAATGTCGAATGTAGATCACCTCTGAGTCGTCATCTAAACATTTCTTAAATTTTATGCTAATCTCATTACTCAAAGAACTTAACATTCTTTGGATATGATCATCTTCCCAGTACCACAGTCATAATGCATTATTCTAAAGATTTGATTTTTTTCAATGCGAGCAGACGGTTGTGTGCATTTGGTCACAGTGACGTTTCAAAGTTAGTCCTCTTCTTTCAGCATGGTTCTTTTCTGTGACGCTTCCCTTGTACCTCATATACAATTATTTGCTCCAGTTACTGGAACCCAGTATTCCACTTAAATTTCTTCATAGGCCTGGATTTATTCCACTTTGTATTAGAGAGAGCAGCTTAATTATCTGTCTTCATGCTAGACTGTGAGCTCCTTAAGGGCAAGGGACCTAGCAATGTGTGTGTATCCCACCATGCTTTGGACCTCATAGCTGTGTAATAAATGTCTGAAATAATAAACGTGCTGGCCAGGTGCCGTGGCTCACGCCTGTAATCCCAACACTTTGGGAGGCCCGGGCAAGCAGATCACCTGAGGTCAGGAGTTCAAGACTGACCTGGCCAAAATGGTGTAACCCAGTCTCTTTTTTTTTTTTGAGTCAGAGTCTCACTCTGTTGCCAGGTGCCAGGCTGGAGTGCAGTGGCGCGATCTCGGCTCACTGCAACCTCCTCCTCCCAGGTTCAAGCAATTCTCCTGCCTCAGCCTCCCGCAAAGCTGGGACTACAGGCACGTGCCA